GTCCCCACGGAGGAAACACCGGCCCACACCGTTCGCTGACGGCAGGAGCGCCAGTGCAGGGCAGCCGGAGGCTCTGGACGCCTGACAGAGCCCAGGAGGGCACGCGGAGGACGCATCGTGCGGCAGGTTATTTTAGAACTGTTTGGTTGCTTTAATGTTAAAAAAAAAAATTCCAATAATGCAATTCCCTAAAGTAACAGATTCGAGAAGAAAAGCCACATGAGTCTGAGAGATGCAGAGAAAGCGCTTGGTGAAGCCCAGTGAGGTTCATGACCCAGATTCCTTCCTTGGAGGGCAGAAGGAACCTCGCCTGATGAGGAGAGCCCACCAGACCTCCTGTGGCCAGCACCCCACCAGGCTGCTCTGGGCTCCTGGTGACCTGCGAGGCCAGCACATCCTGCCAGCCACCTTGCCCCTGCTCAGCACCCAGCCCACCCCTCATGACCAAGCCCTCTGCCAGCTCGACCTCCTGCCCTTCTAGGGCCCCCCTGGCCTGCAGCCCTGACCACCTCCCACACCACTCCCCTCCCACTGCCCTCTGCAGACACCCCGCCCACCTTGCCCTGCCCTCATCTGGCAGACCCCGGGGTCTCCATATGTTTCCTGCCGGGGCACACAGGAGCAGCCGGACACGAGCTGCCAACTCTTGTGACCACAAGCCCAGGCAGGTCCCCAGTGTGCGTGGCGCCCAGCGTCCCCTCCACACTGCCCGACCCCAGCCCTCAGCTCCAGCCTGGCCGAGTGGCCAATGGAGACCAGCATGTGCTGGGCAGGGGCGTGGGTGGATGCCAAGGTCCAAGTGTAGGCAGGTGCGTGTTAGGTGCACCGCCTGCAGACCCAGGGCCCCACTTGCAGGGCCAGGAGGACGCTGTGGCTGGGGAGGGCCTGGCGGCTGGGAGTGGACAGGAGATGACTGGACACCATCACCATCATCCTCGCCGTATCTCCCCTGTGACCTTTGCCCTGAGTCAGTGGCAGAGAGGCGACCCAGGGCCAGAGCAGTGGGCCTCACCGGAACACTCGGCCCCGCCCGTCACTGCTTTGCCCCCCATCCCCATAGGGCTTCGCAGGCAGTGCGTACTTCCGAGGGAGGAAGAGCTGCTTTGGCCCTGCTGCCCAGCACCCGCAGCCCGAGGTAGGCGGGAGAGTTTCCATAGTGGCCCCGACCTGTGTTGCCACAGGCAACAGAGCACCCTGTATGCCGGCGCCTGCACCCGCAAGGGGCTGAGATGCCTGGCTCCTGCCCAGTGGCCTGGCTGTGTTGGACGGCCACTGCCCGTGGGGACAGGAGTGACCCCACACCCACCTTGGCTGTTCTCGGGGACAGATGACAGCACTGAGGGAGAGGCACCTGGCACAAGGGCCGGGTTCCTTCTGGGAGGAGATGGCACAGGGGAAGGCCAGCGGTGGAATCTCCTGGGGGAAGATCAGGGCCTGTCTGGCCCCAAGTTCCTGGGAAGACCAGGACCTGCCTGGCCCTGCGCTGCTGCACCCCGGTGTGGTGGCAGGTGGGACTGTGCCCACGGCCCTGCACAGCCCGCTTCCTCTCACGACAACTCCAGGAGGGCCGGCCCTGCTGCTGTGCAGACAGGAGCCCAGCTGGGACGCCCGGCTGGGCGCGGCGCAGGAGAGCCGCGGCCGGTCTGCTCCCCAGGCCGGGCTGCCTGGGGGGTGGGGGGGAGCCTCATTATTACTTAAAGGCCTAAAAATACTGCCGGCTGTAAATCAGCCCCCACTTCAAGGCTGTGGGCCCTGCCCAAGCATGGGAGGGAGGGAGCGGGCCTGTGCACCACCTGTATCTGACGACAGCCCAGGCCGAGCCGAGATGGCTCTTGGGAAAGCCACCTTGCTAAGGCAGGGCGGCTCCGGTGTCCCCATGTGCCCCCAAGTGCCCCGGGCAGTGTCCTGACCAGGCTGCCCCCTCATCACCGCTGCACCCCGCTGGCCAAGGCCTGGCCTGGACCGGGACCTTCGGGGAAGAACTCTGGCCACCAGTGGCTCTCCCAGCGCATGACCTCAGGTGCCAGGAATGCGCAGCGCGCGCGTCCACCATCTGGTTCTGATTACCCACGCTCTGCTGCGGGAATCTCATCTGCGTTTTGCTCCCAGTGCCCGCCCGGGAGAGATTGATCTGGGCTCCTTAGAGGCTGCGGCGGGAGGACATGAGGGAGGCACGTCTGCGCCCGCGTGGCTCTCCGGCGAGGCGCTGCCGTGCTGGGGCTGGGCGAGGGCACCCGTGGGTGCCAGGGGCCTCCAGGCCACCTCGCCTGCTGCCGGGCGGCAAGGGCGCCCTCGCATGGCTCGGCTACGTGCCCAGGACCCCCAGGCGGGGGCTCAGGCGGGGGCTCAGAGAACCTGAGCTCTCCACGGGTGTGATGTGGGGTGGAGCGCGGTGGGCCGGCCGGCACCCCTGCCAGGACCCCTCCTGGCACGCACAGCTGGAGCCCCCTCCCTGACCCTCGTTGTGGGCAGAGGCCTGCCTGGCCCCCACCCTCAGGCCTCCCACTCTACACCACGTTCCTGGTCCCCTCTGCTCTAGCTTTCAAATTTGTCAGTACACTCATTGCACAGACTGGAAATCCAATGAGTAAAAAAATAAATTAAAAACAACAAAAAAAAGTAAATTTGTCAGTACAGTAAGGTCACCATTGGCGAACGTGCCCATAAATTACAGCCTAGGTTCCAGCAGCTGTTTCCCAAACATGCCGGGAGGGGCTGGGTGCGCCTGGGCCAGGATGGCAGGGGGCTCCTTCCTGGGGTCTGGGTGTGCAGCAGAGTGGCGAATCTCGAGGAGGGTCTTCAGCCCTCTGCAGAGTCAGGCTGGTGGAGGCCATGCACAGCAGGGTGGCACCGCTGGGTCCCCACCAGCCTTGGCGGCGGGAGAGAGGGTGTGCAAGGGAGACCCGCCCGCGGCCCCCTGGGGCTCAGCACTGACTGGGACAGCAGCTCAGGACACGAAGACTCAGCACCCAGAGTGGCTCAGTCTGCCTTTCTCAAAACGACCATCATCCCTACAACTCACACCCCACCCACAGCCAGTCCCCTATTCTGAGACCTCGGAGACTCTTCCTCCTGGTGGAGGGACGCGAAGCTCCGCCCCTCACATCAGGGCTTCCGTGGGACCACCCCCAGTGACTGCAAGTCTGCCACGCCTGGCACAAGCTTGGCGAGCCCACAGGCGCTGGGGACCGTCCCTCCCCCACCCCGCCGCATGACTTGGGGACCCTGGCAGTGTCCACTTGATGGGCCAAAGGGGAGCGATGCCCTCCCTTTGGCCTCCTGTCGAGTAGGGGGAGCCTGGACTTCACAGCCCCAAGGGGCAGCCTCCTCCATGGTGCTCCAGGGCTGAGCCCAGGCGAGGCCAGGAGCTGGGCCTGCTGCTGCTTCTGAGGCCACCCCGAGGGGCACAGCCCCCACCCCGAGGGGCACGCAGCCCCCACCCCGAGGGGCACGCAGCCCCCACCCCGAGGGGCACGCAGCTCCCACGCCGAGGAGCACACAGCTCCCACGCCGAGGAGCACAGCCCCTAGCCCGAGGAGCATGCAGCCCCCAGCCCGAGGAGCACGCAGCCCCCAGCCCGAGGAGCACGCAACCCCCACCCCAGGAGCACGCAGCTTCCACGCCGAGGGGCACAGCCCCTAGCCCGAGGAGCACGCAGCCCCAGCCCGAGGAGCACGCAGCTCCCAGCCCGAGGAGCACGCAGCCCCACCCCGAGGAGCACACAGCTCCCACGCCGAGGGGCACAGCCCCCAGACCGAGGAGCACGCAGCCCCAGCCCGAGGAGCACGCAGCTCCCAGCCCGAGGAGCACGCAGGCCCACCCCGAGGAGCACGCAGCTCCCACGCCGAGGGGCACGCAGCTCCCACGCCGAGGGGCACAGCCCCCACCCCGAGGAGCACGCAGCCCCCAGCCCGAGGAGCACTCAGCCCCACCCCAGGAGCACGCAGCTCCCACACCGAGGGGCACAGCCCCCACCCCGAGGAGCACGCAGCCCCCACCCCGAGGGGCACAGCCCCCACCCCGAGGAGCACGCAGCCCCCACCCCCAGGGGCACGCAGCCCCCACCCCAAGGGACACAGCCCCCACCCAGAGGAGCACGCAGCCCCACCCCGAGGAGCACGAAGCTCCCACGCCGAGGAGCACGCAGCTCCCACGCCGAGGGGCACAGCCCCCAGCCCGAGGAGCACACAGCTCCCACCCCAAGGGGCACACAGCCCCAATCCGAGGGCACGCAGCTCCCACGCAGGCCCTGCCCCACGAGACCTGTGTGCACAGTCCCACTCATTGCTGTGGGTGAGCCTGTCTTCCCAGGCTTTTGCGGGGGTCCCTTGCCCACCCCTGGGAGCCAGTGTGCACCCAACACACACCCAGCGCCTCATCCCCTGTGGCCTACAGCCCCACAACTGCACTGAAGACGGCTCCCCGACCCCAGTCAGCCCCAACCCAATCCCTGCTGTCCTACAGCTGAGCACAGGGGCCACAGGCCTGGGCCTGGACACCAGAGCCCCTCGAGAGGCCGGCAGAGGCCACAAGGCATCGCTCCACCTTGGGCATGAGGCCTCGCGCCCGCCGGGCTTTCCTGCTGCCCAGGAGCAACCCCCCCAGGCCGGCTCGCAGACTGCCGTGGGGGCTGGAGCTCCATGGAGTTTTCCACACTGGACTTTTCTTTTTTCTTTGATTAATCAGTTCCTTACTGACCAAATTCCTCTGAGTTTTCACCAAGGGGATCGTGCACTCCTGGACACTACGTGCCTTTTTCTGGACGGACAAGACGTGACTGCTGCTAACCCGAGGCCTGGGAGAAACCTGAGCCATGTGAATGGCGCCGACACCCACGCCCCCTTCTTCCTGCGCGATGGGACAGGCCGCCCGCACCCGCCTCCAAGTGATTGATTAGCTGGGGACCTGCAGCAACTCCTCCTTCATGCCTAAATATTGTTCCAGCCCATCAGACTGTTAGTGCAGAGCAGGATAAATGAGGCCCGGCCCGGCGCACTGACCTGCAGGGCCTGCCGCCCATCTAGGCTCCAGACAGCCAGCGCCTTCCCTGCGGAGCCTGAGACGCCCCGGGCCTTCTCGGGGTCGAAGTCAAGGCCCATGACGGGCTCCTCGTGGCAGGAGACATGGCTGCACATCTTCCGCTCAGAAATGTCCCACAGGGCCACCGATCCGTCCTCGTAGCCAGCCAGGAGGAGTGGGCGGGGGCTGGAGTCAGCCTGCAGGGACGGCAGAGAGGTCAGCCCCCAGAAGGGCTCAGACTCTAGTCAGTTTCAGGGGAGGGGCTGTCAAGATGGCTGTCCCTCCCACGGGGCTAGGGCTGCTTCCCGAATCCTCCAGGTGGCTGTGACTGCCCAGGGGCCCTGCATCCAGCCCCTCCCGCACAGCCTCTGGACAGCAGACACCACAGGTGTGGGGCCCGCACGGCTGCTGCTGGGACACCCTAAGGAACGTGGGCTTAGAGGCCACAGAGCCCCGGAGCAGCCCCTACGGAGCCACTGCCTGCCAAGCCTTGGGACCCGGCACGTGCCTGCACTGCGTCCTGCCCACAGGGGCAGCGCTGGGCGCCCGCCATGTGCACAGGTGTGGCCAAGCCCTCGCCACCTCTCTCGTGCTCAGGGACCCATCCTCCTTCCTCGAGCTCTCCTTGGCCTGAGATGCACGGCCACCCTTGGCAGGAACTGGTCACCCATCTGGAGCCACCAGCCAGGAGAAGCTGTGAGCTCCATCTCAATGAAAGATGAACTTTTGTGCCTTGTCAAGGTGGCTACAGAACCGTCCCCACCCCGCCCCTGCAAGGCTGGTGGGAGCTGCCCATGCCCTAGCTTGCTGCAGCCCAAGCTATCGTGATGAATGAGGGCGTGGGTCAGAGGGCTTCGTTTGTTAAGCCCCTGCAGAGACTGCAGGAGAGCGCTGCGGGATTCCGCGGCACCCTGGGGGCGTAGCCGCTAGGCTCCGAGGGTGGCAGCCCAAGAGAAACCTCGTGGGGCTAAGTGAGGAGGTGAGGGCTGGCCGGGGGCTCCAGGGTGGGTGCCCGACAAGCAGACACCATGTCCCCAAGAAGCCTGAGGGCTGGGGTGCCCCATGTGTCAGCAGGTTGGTGACAGGAGCCAGGGAGCCAGGCCCGGAGCCTGAGCCAGGCAGCCCTGGTCCAGAAGGGCCGGCCAGGTCACGGTGGCCTGCACACGGCACGTGAACCCAGAGCGACAGAAGGGCGGCTCTGGGAGGTGGCCTGCGTCTCTGGGCGCCTCATCTCAGGTGCTGCACCGTGCCGGGGCCCACACCATTCCCAGGGCAGAGCTGCCCAGGTCTCCGTGTGGTGCCCGGCATGCGGCCCGCCTCCTCCCCGCGACCTGCCGGCCCTCGCCACACTCTCCTGGGGCGTCATCACAGGGAGAGCCCAACGCTGGCCCTTGTCCGGTCACCTGCTTGGACGTGACGCGTGCAAAAAATGCACACCACTTTCCCGGATTCGTGGACTCAGGGAACTGTAAGTGGTGCCATGCTCCTGCGTGGGGCTGCTTGCAGGCAGCCATGCTGCCCCAGAGCAGCATGTCTGGACCCAGGGCAGGACCAGGGCCTCGCAAGAGCAGCCCAGAACACGCCAAGCCCCGTCCGGGACCACGAGCCAGCTCCTGCCACCAGCGCAGGTGGGGGGGCCAGCTGCTGGACTCACCCGAGTCCGACTTCCGAGGACTCACCTGGGGCCCATGTGGACACGCTCCCCCCAGGCAGTGCTCCGTGGCAGAACCTGTCCCCATTCCTCATCGCCTCTGGCCAAGCCTGTCCTGTCCCCTCCCTGGGGCACATTCCTCCTGGCTCCCGAGCTAAAACAGCTCAGGGACCGGCTCTGCCCAGTCTCTGTAGACCGACGTCAGCGTGAAGCCCACAGCCCCGGAGTTCTGGGCGCCGTGGCTAACGACCACCTGTCACTTTTGTCATGCGGGGGTGGCTGGACCAGGGCCAGCTCGGCCTGGAGCGGCGTGCCCCATGGCTGCTGGCCCTGTGGCCACCTCACTCTCTGCTCTGTTCCGGGTTCCTGGGCCTCCCAGTGACAGGCGCCGTGGGCAGAGAGTGTCCAGGCTGGGCCTTTGGTACCTGCACGATCGGTGCTGCCCGGCCTCCTCAGAGGATCTGATGCCACCCTGAGCTCTCTCCTCTCCTCCAACCCGCACTCCACTAACACTTGGAGGCCAGGTCTCGCTCGTGTCCCCTCTTGTCCCTCAGCAAGCAGCCGCAGAGGACACAGCAGGGACCGTGGGCAGCCCCCGACTCAGTGGGGCCGGCCGGAGGGGCCTGAGCAAAGACTGAGCCGCGGGCCCGCCGTAGCTCCTGACCGTCCGCCATTACTCTTGCGGCACAGGACGCCACTTCGAGGAGCAAAATAAGAACATACTTGAGTGTTTAAAAAACAACCTAGTTGGTCCACTCTGCCATGCTCAGATCAACAAGTTATGGCCTGGACCCTTGGGCGTGGGGGTGCGACAGGAACATTTCCAGCTGACGCAGACGTCCTTAGTGGGATACTTTGCGCTGAGTCTGTGTCACCAACACCGGCATGGTTTGTCCTCTGTCAGCTATATTAATCACCATAACAAGTCGGTACACCCCGTTCTGCACATTTTTCTGCTGTAATTCCACATGATTGTGCAACCACCCATGTTTCCCAGGAGCTGACTTGAGCGGTGCAGCCCTGGCTACCCCGCCCCAGGCCAGGGGGCCCTCAGCCACCGCCCGTGACGCTGCGGCCTGGGGGTGTGTCTTCCCAGCCAAGTGCCTGCTGAGCTCTCAGAGGAGCCTAGTCTGGACACATGGAGGCCAGCATCCCAGGCCCCGCTGCACCCCCAAGGCCCAAGCCTGCTGGAGCCAAGACCGTTGCCGTTTTGGGTGAGTCCCCTGGAGTGTCCCCACCTGCTGTGGGTGGCCCTCCCAGAGGCTGCGCAGCTGCAAAAGCAAGCCCACAGGATCCACCTACTAGAGACCCCAAATCCCTACGCCCTCAGTCAAGAAACAGCAGGGAGGCTGGCAGCAGGAAAGGGTGGCGATCTTCCTGGCCAGGTGAAGAGACAGAAACACCTGGGGCAAGGGCTCTGGGGGTGCCCATCCCAGTGGGTCTCGCAAGGGCACCTGGACACCTCCAGACCGCACAGGCCCACCTGGTCTGGCTCTTGCGAAGAGTTCAGAGAGGCAGCGGGACGTGAAGCAGGCACCGCCTCCCCCTGGCCAGGGCCAGCGAAGGGGCAGGAACGTGCGGAGTGCTCTGGAGCGGGCTCTGCCCGGCGCCCCACCCACCACAGCTCCCGCAGTGGTGACAGCACGGCTGAGGCTGCTGGCAACTCCTTGTGAGTGACACACCAGGCCATTTGCTCTGTGGCCCGGGGAGGGGACGAGGTTGCTGAGACGGCGCTGACCAGGGACAGCTGGGTTAGGAAGCCATGGCTTGAGGAGGGCTGGGGTCTCGGGCGATGTGGCCGGCCTGGGAGGATCCCTCCCACACTTGCAGCCCTGGGAGACACCTCCCGACCCCTCCCACCAGAAAGAACAGTCAAGAAAGAAGGAAATGGCTGTGGCTCAGAAACTGTGAGTGTGGCCATGGGGAGAGGCACTGGCACTGTGTCAAGCCCACTCCTGCCTCTGAGAAGCAAAGAAGTAACAAAAATTAACCCCAAGCAAGGAAGGGCCGCGCAGGCTGCCGCAGTTGGTCGGCACGTCCCTCCCGCCTTGGCAGTGCCAGTGGCCTGCAGCGCTGAGCAGGACACATGGCCCACGTGGGGCGGGCTGGGCCGCAGCCCCACTGCCCCCTCCTCACTGCCACTGCAGGAGGTGAGCCTGTGGGGCCCGTGAGGGGTGTGCACCTGCTGCTGCTGCCGCCTGGGGCAACACCAGGGTCCCTCACCGCGGCGGCAGCAGTGGGAGGCGGAGGGCCGGCGGGGACACTGAGGCGCAGGAGGCGGCTGCACATGTTCCCCACAGGGGGTGTTGCCTGACTGGCGTGGCAGTAAATCAGATCTGAACGGGACATGACTCAGGCTGGCGGGCGGGCGTGGCGGGCGGGCGTGGCTGGCGCGCGCCCGGCCTTACCTGCCACAGCCCCAGGCACATGGGCATGCCCGGCTTGGCATCTGCCTCCGGCTTCAGGGTGCACACTGACGTCTTAGACGGCATCTCCAGGATCTGAACCTGACAGTAAGAAAACAAGTTGATTTGGGCCGACGCCAAGTCGAGCCTGTGCTATACAAACAAGAGACTTTTAAGGCGATTAGCCAGGCTGCTGCGAGTTTGTCTGCTCCCCTCCCCTGAGGACCTGGGAGCGGAGGTTCCCATTAGGCTGCTTATGGGCTGGGGGTTGCCAGGACCTTGCAAGAGGCTCCCAGCGTTCCCAGGTGACGGCGCATCGCCGGACAGCCGCCTCGGCCTCTCCTGCTTCCCCGTCTGGGCTGAGCAGGAAGCCCGGCTCTCTCGCCCCCGACTCCACTCAGCCGATCCCCTCTCCTTGCTCCTCTTGCCTGGTGTGGGTCTGACAGCCGGAAACCATGGACGCTCTCGGGCCCATTCGTGGCGCGGGGACTCCCACAGGCACACCTGGGCACCCACCACCCGCTGAGAAAGGGAAGTGATGTGCGTTCACCAGGGGCTTTCCCAGCACCCACACCTGCACCCCATGTGTGGAGGCTGCGATCCATGTCTCCTGCACACAGCCAGGGCCCTCCTGTCCTGGGCTGGGGCTGTGCCTCGAGGCTCATGTGCTGACAGCAGGCTGGGCACTGCCCAACACCAGCCCCAGGGATGGCCAAGGCTGTGAGGAGCAGACTCGGGCACCAAAGTGCCGCAGCCCAGAATTGGGCCCCAGCTGTCTCTTGTCCCTGAGCACTTGGGCTCCCTCATCCACCTGGTGGGGACAGGACACCCCTCCTATGGAGCTCCCATGTGACATGCTGCAGCACAGGGCTGGCAGGATGCTCCCTGCCTGGTTTGTGCCACCCAGCAGACCTGCTGGAACCGGGTCCTGTGCGCTCTTCCCCCTTGTTCTGCAGGCTGGGGGGCTTGCCCACTCTGAGCTTCCTTGAGTACCAGTGAGAGTGGCTCTCTATCACAATGTGGCGATAACATCGATGTGCAGGCACCTGGACAGGAGGAGGCCAGGTGGCATCCCCCGGTTTGCACAGGAGGAGTCTGAGGTCCAAGCTCTTGGGCCATCGAGTGGCCAGAACTTACACCAGCTGTTCCAGCTGCCTGAGTCCCACGCTGTTCTCTGGGGCCAGGCAGGGGGACGGTGTCCGAGGGGCCCCTATCAGGGAGAACCTGGCTGCCTTCACTAACCCACAAAGAACGGGCCCAGGCCCCCAAGTCTGAATTCCAGACCTGCCACCTGTGTGCTGGGGCTGTGCCAAGGGCAGCCTCCGGCAGGGCAGAGAGCCGGGCACCTAGCAGGGTCCTCTCAGCTGCAGAGTCCTGCTGATGCGCCCACCGTGGCAGGTGGGCTGGGGCCACAGTGCTCTCGGCAGGGGCTGGCACCGCAGCTCAGCTCGACAGTGGGGTCTCCACCCTGCTCTGCACGGGGGTGGTGTACAGCTCTGCACCCTACCCCCTGCAGAGGGCAGGTCTGGGGCCACTGCACTAGTGCCCACCTGCACACACGTGCATACACGTACACACGTGCACACGTGCAGAGGCCCAGGGGCCTCGGGGTAAGATGACTGCCTGAAGGAAGGCGCTCCAGGACAAACACCTCGAGTACCAGGAGAGGCCACTGCAGTTGAGGAAGACGAGGCTCCAGGAAAAGGAGCTGCTGGGACTCCACGGCTGCTCGTGGTGCCACGTGGGCCTGCAAGCCCTGGGAGAGGTTGGTCATGCCTGAATTAAAGGCAGCCAAGATGGCCAATATGAGGGCAAAGGGCAAAACAGAGATCTTTTTGGACACCAAGGATTCCTTATGGAAAAACCACTCCAGGGCAAGCTCTAGCAAAACAGAAAGAAACACAGGAACAAGAACATCAGGAAACCAAGACTTCATTGCAACTGGGCCCAGCCCAGCAGAACACGGAGAACCCAAGAGAAGCTAGAGGCAGGCACAGCCCTTCTCTGCTCTCTGCAGGACAACATCGACTCCAGCATAGCGTTTCTCCTTTCGGGAGACCCTCCCGGGGCAGTGAGGGGGCTCAGGGAAGAGGACTCGGGCAGGCCGGTGTGGGACAGGGCAAAAGGCAGGGGGAGAGGGAGGGCAAAGCCCAGGCAGCCCCAGGCCCCGCGCCAGGCACTGCGGCGGACACATGGGTGGCGGCACTTCCAGCCACGGCCTGTGTGCAGGGAGCAGGGCGCCTGGGCCCAGCGTCCGCCTGGCTCGGCCACCAGCCAGGGCCTCCCGGGTCAGAAGAGGGGCTCCCCGCCCAAGCCTGTGCCTGCGCCTCCTGCAGACACCGACGACCCCCACCTGGCACCCGGCTGCAGCTTTTGTTTCCAGAAGGGAAAATGTTAGGCTTGGGCGAGGGAGGCCACCCAGACGGCCGAGCGAGCCCTGGGCGCAGGCCAGCGATGCTTCTCCAGGGCCTCGTCCAGGCAGGTTCCAGGTGGGAACATGGAAAGCAACCATTCCCAGGACGTGCGGGGTCCCAGGCTGGCAGCTCCGGAGAAACAAAGAGGCTGCCCCTCGGGGAGAGCCGCGAGGCGGGTTGAAACAGCCTCCAGCATGGGGGCGTGCAGCTGGGAGGGCCGGCAGGCTGACCAGGCCCACGGTGGCCGAGGCAGGCGCGTTGGGGGGCGCAGGTTGGGGCAGGCCCGAGGGTCCGGGTCTGCGGCCGGCAGGAGCTGGCTGCCTGCCCACCGGAGCCAAGCACAACCCTTTCTCACATTAGTAAAACTTGTAAAAGGGTTGGGGAAATTGGCAGGAGAGGTGTACGCAGATCCTAATTGGTGATTTAAACACAATCAAGAACAAATAAATTCCTGTTGCTGTCTCATTATTTATGAACTGGATCTGCCTGAAGACAGAACGACTCTTCTTGGGCGGGGGCCAAGCCTGGTGAGGGCTCACGGGGCGGGGGCCAGGGAGGACCAGGAGCAAGGACGGGAGCCCCCCCCCCAGGTGTGTGCGCTCCGCTCCACACCCGTCATCCCACAGCCTGCTTTGGGCCACCCTGCCGCACTCACCGCGTCCAGGCGCCACTCCTGGCTGCTCTGATTTCCTTCAGCCATGCCCACCTCCTCCATGATGCCCCACCTGTCCTGGCCCATCCTGTCTGTGGTGGACCCGCCTCATCAGCCCCCAGGGCAAGGAAGCTGCTGTTGGCCTGGCCAACCCCACCAACACCTCTGGACACTCCGGCCTGACCTATACCAACAATGGGCTCCCTGGTCACCCCTCCTGGAGCCCATCCCCTGTGCACCTGTCTCTCGGGACAGCCATCGCCACCTTGGTGCCCACCCCCAGCTTGCATCCCAGTCCTACCCACGGTGCCTGGCTCGGGGCCCTGACACTCTGCTGTCCCTGCTGCCACGGCTCAGCCCCCCACAGGGCCTCGACTCTCCCACCACCTCCTCCCACCCAAGTCCAAGGCCCCTGAGGACCTGAGCGGTCCCTGCCCCCAGCTGCTCCTGCTGGTCTCAGGCCTCCACACCTGGCCATCCTGCACCCTCCTCTACAGGCAGAGCCGCTCTGGGTGCCGGCCCTGTTCTGGCTCTCACATTGCCCCGGGGGAACGGCTCACTGCCAGGCCCCCCCCCCCCAGGTGCCAGGCCAAGGCCCAGCTGCTGGAGCTGCAGTCAGGCGGGCAGACCTCAGACCTGCCCTGGGCAGCTCCATGGGGTCCAGCGGGTAGGCACAGGCGCCTCCTCACCAGGTGCACTCCTGTTCAGGAGAACAAGGGGCCTGAGCTGGGCTGGTTCTCACCTCGTCGCTGGCCTTCCCCGGCACGGCGAGTGTCCAGCGTGGCTGCCCGCCAGCCAGGATGGCGCTCTTGCAGAAGCCCACGCTTTCCAGGCGTACGGAGTCCACGACGGTGTTCCGGCCCTCCGCCAGGTCCCACAGGCACAGCTTCAGGTCCCGGCCCTGACTTCCAAACCAAGAGGAGACAGTCCTGAGCCTCCCCAAGTGAGCTCATCACATACCCTACCTGGACAGACACCGGCCCGAGGCCGAAGGCAGGCACGGCCACGGTGGCTCACGGCAGCTCAGGGCAGGTCAGCATCCTCCACCGAGGACAGGCTTCTCTCTCCGGCACGTACACGTGAGTTGGCACCCATGGTGCCGCTGCTGGGACACGCGGCCAACTCTGGCCACAGGCGCTTGGTGGCAAGTGTCCCGTGTCCCGCCCCCCCGGCCCTCTGCTGCCACCCTCGCCACCAGGGCACCCCCCCTTCCCTCTGCAAGTCTAGTCTGAGGACCAGCAGCCCGACTCACAAGCGCTTTTCCAAATGAGCGTTTCCCCACGTTCACACAGATGCCTGCACGAGAATGCTCACAGCGGCTTCGCCCACCACCGCCCGCCCCAGAAACACCAGCCGTCCCTCGGGGCAGCCTGCTGCGTGCCCACTCTGGGATGCCCTTCGGCAATGGGAGGGCTGTCTGCGGGCATGGGGAACATCCCGCAGGAGACCCTGAGGGGATCCCGTTAGGCAGAAGCAGCCAGACCCGAAAGGCTGCCTGCAGCGAGACCGTTCTAGAAGGCAGGCGCATGGGGGCGGGCACGCCGGGGGACGCCCACGTGGGCTCCGTGGGGCAACCGACTGCCCTGCGTGGCCCAGGCGTGGTGGGTGCCAAACCCACAGGACTGCATGCCACTCAAAGCAAACTCACTTGGTCCGTCAGAACGACAAGCAAGCAGGACACCGGGAGTGCAGAACAACTGCGACGACAGGCGCAGACGCGAGCCCTGGGGGAGTGTGCTCCGGCTAGATGCCCGCGGTCACAGACCAGCACCTGTGGAGACTCGGGGCTCTAGTTGCTGAACTTGTTTCTCGGAGGTGTACAGGCTCGCAATTCTGACGGGTGAGACCCTGGGGGTGGCTCTCAGGGTCTGTCCTCCCCGGGGCCGTCACAGACAAGCACAGAGGCCGCGTGGACTGCACAGCCAGCGGAGCGGGTGTGCAGTCAGATGCGCGCACAGACAGGCGCGGCCGTGGGCGCGGCGTGCGGGCCGGGTCCGCACACCCCAGGGCCTCCCGGCACCCTCTGCCAACAGCACCTACCGTGTTTCCCCAAAAATAAGACAGGGTCTTATATTTATTTTCCCTCAAGAAGACACCCTAGGGCTTATTTTCAGGGCATGTGTTATTTTTTTTTTTAAGTACGGTCCAACAATCTACATTGATTCAAATATAGTGAAGTCGTCTCTTGGAACATCATCATAACTCTCCAAACCCCGAATTCCATCCTGAATGTCTTGCGACTCTATTTTCTTTAGAACCATCGGCCCCGATCTCTCCTGTCAAGCACCAGAGCTCTCACGGGGTGGATGAGAAGGGCTGCTCGCCTTCTTTCCCACTCCGCGACGACACGCACGGGTTGTGCAGATGCGCTGCATTGCCACGCCCATCACTAGGTCCTATTTTGGGGGTGGGGCTTGTATTGTGCAAATGCTTAGAAATCCTGCTAGGGCTTGTTTTATGAGTAGATCTTATTTTCGGGGAAACATGGCAGACACGGCGAGCGCACCTGGCACCCATTTTCCAGCCAGGAGCCCGGTGCTGAGGAGTTGCTGATGCCGCGGCTGGGGCAGGAAGAACACAGGATGAATTTCAAGCATCTTGCAGTGCCAGAAACTGAGGAAACACTTAAGAAATCAAATAAAGGATAGGTGTGTCAGAAGGACGCGGGCTCCAAAGCTGGAACGATCCAAAGTGACAAAAAAAACCCAAAAAACCTCACAGTAGTAATATCTTGTGACCCAAAGAATGAAGTACATCTCCATGAGCCCACTCTTGTGGGTGAATGCACAAATAAATCGTGAAGAAGGAGCAAACTTCCTACAGGTTCCTTAATTCCAGTTAAAGCAGAGTCTGCCGCAGGGAGGAGGAACGCAGGAGATGACAGCCCCCGGCGACAGCTGCCGCAGGCAGAGCCCACACACGGACGCTGACAGTAGGCGAAACTTTAAGGAGAAATAGGATATTTGCACAGCCTCAATGTCTCTCCCCCCAGATATTTATTTATTTTGAGACAGAATCTCGCTGTGTTGCCCAGGCTAGAGTGAGTGCCGCAGTGTCAGCCTAGCTCACAGCAACCTCAAACTCCTGGGCTCAAGCAATCCTCCTGCCTCAGCCTCCCAAGTAGCTGGGACTACAGGCATGTGCCACCATGCCCGGCTAATTTCTTCCATATATATTAGTTGGCCAATTAATTTCTTTCTATTTATAGTAGAGACGGGGTCTCGCTCTTGCTCAGGCGGGTTTCGAACTCCTGACCTGGAGCGATCCTCCCAGAGTGCTAGGATTACAGGCGTGAGCCACTGCACCCGGATATTTATTAGTTACTGCGGTGGCCTCAACTCAGTGAGGGCACACCTTCTCAGACCCTCCTCCCCCCAGGAGGGGAGCTTAATTCTCCTCCCCGTGAGTGTGGGCTGGACCTGGAGACTCGCTTCTATGGAGACAGGAAGAAAAGGCAGCACCCTGGCACAAGGTGAGGAGGGCACGTGTCTCCATGGGTTTCCTGCCAACACCCATCACACCCTTTGTCTCCCCTGAGAGCGTCGCACGGACCCTACCTGAGACTCAGGTGTTCTACAAAACACCTGGGTCGGACTCTTCGAGAATGCCAAGGTCACAAAAAACGAAGGAAGAGAGAAATGAAGACAGATCACAGGCCCTAGGGAGACAGGACAGCCTGGTGATGGCGGAGCAGAAGGACAGTTGTGGGAAACGCGGTGACCCTCTGCCGAGGTGCAGACAGCTCCGTGCCGCGCCCCAGGCTCGCTGGGCAGCGACCCCAATCCAAATCTCTGCTCGGTTTCTGGAGAACTCGCCACACCGATGTTCAAAATGGGGCTTTTGATTAAGGCCTCAGGATTAAGAATCATGAGGCCCCCAGGAGACTCTGCTGGGGCAGGCTCGGTGGGCAGCCAGGGAGGGCGGTGGGAGGGTGTCCCCGTACACAAGGGGACATGAGCCTGGCCGTGAGCCAAGGACTCACTCACTCACTCGTCAAGGAACTTTTTCTTTGAATCAGTTTTTTTTTTTTAATATACAGAGTCTTGCTCTGTTTCCCAGGCTAGAGTGAGTGCCGTGGCATCAGCCTAACTCACAGCAACCTCAAACTCCTGGGCTCAAGCAATCCTCCTGCCTCAGCCTCTCAAGTAGCTGGGACTACAGGCATGCGCCACCATGCCAGGCTAATTTTTTCTATATAGTTTTAGTTGTCCAGCTAAGTTCTTTCTATTTTTAGTAGAGACAGGGTCTCACTCTTGCTCAGGCTGGTTTCGAACTCCTGACCTTGAGCGATCTGCCCGCCTTGGCCTCCCAGAGTGCTAGGATTACAGGTGTGAGCCACCACGCCTGGCCTGAATCAGTTTTGAACTCACAGGCTAGCTGTGGGAGCAAGAGGAAGTCCCCCGAACCTCCTGTCCTTGGTGCCTGCTCCCCAGCCCCAGGACACACATGTGCCTCCCACAAAAACACCCTCCGAAGGCAAGCCCACTGCTGCAGCTGTCCCGGGCCTCAAGGACCACGCTTGCTATGGGCCGTCAGGCTGCACCCTGCCTGCCCCCACCCTGTCTCTCCTTCCCTCCCCGGCGCCAAGGCCCAGGCCCAGGCCCACCTTCCTGAGGAGACACCAGCAGAGGACACCACAACTCCTCAGTCATTGTACCTGAGGGCACATAACGTGAACTGCCCACCCCTGGGGGCACTGACTCCAAGTGCCTGGTCAAGGCTGTGCCCGCCAGTTCTGTCCCCTGCAAAGCCACTGCATCCCCTTGTCTGGTGTGTTGTAGGGATAATATTCTACCCTAACCCTACATGACCTCTGACCCGTGTCTCCAGGAACCCTCGTTCTTTTAGCACAGGGAGATTTTCAGAAACCAAGATCCAGGCCGGGCACAGTGGCTCACACCTGTAACCCTAGCACTCTGGGAGCTCGAGGTGGGCACATCTCTCAAGGTCAGGAGTTTGAAACCAGCCTGAGCAAGAGCAAGATGCTGTCTCTACTAAAAATACAAAGAAATTAGCTGGACAACTAAAAATATATAGAAAAAATTAGCCGGGCATGGTGGCGCATGCCTGTAGTCCCAGCTACTCAGGAGGCTGAGGCAGGAAAATCGCTTGAGCCCAGGAGACTGAGGTAGCTGTGAGCTAGGCTGACGCCACGGCACTCACTCTAGCCCGGGCAATAGAGTGAGACTCTGTCTCAAAAAAAAAAAAAAAAACCAAGACCCGGTGCCGGTGCACTCAAGGTCACAGGAGCCGCTGCTGCCAGCCTTCTCTGCAGACGGAGTAGGAAACACACACACAACACACATGTATATACATTACACACACGCAAAGCCCCCCCACAAACACACACACACATGCTCCACATACAGATCACACACACTACACACATAAATCACAGATACATGCAAGGCCCTACTACACATATACACATACCACATGCAGTTCATACACATAACATACATACACATACACACCCCACGCAGGGAAAACTACACGAATCTTTGTGCATTTGTCTGCAGTATCATCCAGCTCCTCTGAGCCCCCCGCTGCAGCCCAATCCCTCTGGGTGCTTTCTCACCATCCCCATTGGTGACTGGCTCCCGCTGTCCTCCAGATATTTACTGACGTGCCCAGCCAGCGCCTGTGCCATGTACCCCCACTGCTTCTGCGGCCGCCCAGAGCCCCTGCCCCCACTCACGGGGAACGCGGGAAGGGAAGGAGAGCTGCCGGGCACCCGCGTGGAAACACCCATGGTGGTCTCCCAGCACACGCGGCTCTCTGAGGAGCAGCAGTGAAGACCCTGCGGGACAGGGAAGGCTCCCCCATCACAATGCAGGGACTCCACAAAGACACGACAGCGCTCGCCGCAAGTAGAGAGCTGGGCTTTCCTGACTCCATCAGAATGAGTGGCTTTGTCTATTGAAGACACCATTGAAAGAGTGAAAAGTGCAACCACCATGTTGCAGAGATATGCTATGACATGGTATCTGTCATACAGCGAAGACAGAAAGAAGCCCGACACAACCCGTAGGAAGAGCCAGGCAGTCCAGCAGAGACAGGGCCGGAGACCCAGGAGGCGTTTGAGAGAGGGTGCATCCCAGTGGCCAGCAAACACGCGGGAGGCCCCATCACAGAGTGATCAGAAACCCTGAATTCAGCCACACTCAGAAGCGCCTGTGCCCAGCAGCAGGGGAGGGCGCTCCTGCCTCGGTGTGCAGACTGGCGCCTTCCGGCATGTCCCAAGTGCCCACGTGCTGTGACCCAGGCATCCCAGCTCTGTGTGCACAGCTCCAACCTGCAGGCACGGTGCACCCGGGCCCCGGGAGACTGTACCAGCTGCATGGGCACCGGGTCTCCACTGGCAGGTGCACAGGTGCACGGTGCGGGTGCACGGGTGCGTGGTGTGGGCACACGCACCAGCAGCAGGCCGCACGGAGCACAGCAACCAGGCACAGCTGTGGGCAATGTGGCAGACTGCACTGAGATAAGGTCATGTCACAGAAGTCAGACACAGAGGAGGCTGCTTCTTATGGCTCCATTCTTTTTTTTTTTTTTTTGAGACAGACAGAGTCTCACTCTGTTGCCTGGGCTAGAGTGCCGTGGCATCAACCTGGCTCATAGCAACCTCAATCTCCTGGGCTCAAGCAATCCTCCTGCCTCAGCCTCCCGAGTAGCTGGTACTACAGGCATACGCCACCATGCCCGGCTAATTTTTCTATATATTTTTAGTTGTCCAAGTAATTTTTTTCTGTGTTTTTGTTTTTTAGTAGAGACAGGGTCTCACTCTTGCACAGGCTGATTTCGAACTTCTGACCTTGAGTGATCCTCTCTTCTCAGCCTCCCAGAGTGCTAGGATTTCAGGCATGAGCCACTGCGCCTGGCCTCCATTCTTTTTAGGTTAAGATAAAACAGACAAAGCTAGTCTGTGTGTTTCAGAGACACACATTCAGAGGGTGAAGCAAGAATGAGGTAAGAGGGCTGCCTCCGGGGAGGGTGCAGCGGTGGTCGTGGGGCCCGGGGGCTGGGCGCTGGCTGCTCAGGGGCTCACTTAGCAGGGACGGGAGGCTCTGCACACTGGTCTCCATGCTTCTGTAAGCGCGTCACACCTCACGATCAACAAGGTGAGAGCAGCACCCTGCACGGTGGTGCCGAGGGCACAGGTGTGTGGGCAGGGCTGGGGCATCTCCTACCTCTGGACATGAAAGCGACCATTCCCTTCAAGGGCCACTTGGAGAGACTTGGCTCCCAAACACAGCTGAGCGCCAGCCTCGCGGGGCCGCCGGCTCCAGTGCAGCGTAGACGCACCTGGGCATTCCACAGCTTTAGCCTGAGCCCATAGTTCCTCTGGAAGTGAGGCGCCCTTGAACGCACCTCCCACGCCCAGACCCTGGAGAGCAGGGGACCCCTCAGGGCCTCACCCTCGGCTGAAACTCAGGGAGAAATGCTTGCAAACGGCAGCTCCTGACACACGTGGCCTAGCGGGGTTCTGGAAAGGTGTCTGCTCTGACAGTCAGGGGAAGCTCAAACCACAAGGAGGTTCCTTTGTACCAAGGGTGGGATCTGGGCCTGCCTGGCCAGGAGGTAGGCCAGGTCCGATGAGACTCTAGAAAGACACGGGCTCGGGGCCTCCACCCTCTGGGACAGCTCTGTGCCCCCGACGCCAGCCGGCCATCTTCTGGGCAGGGGGCACTGCCGAGGTTGGGCCATGCCCACCACCACGGTTCTGCAGACCGATGGGGGCCAAGACAGGCCCTGGCCCCCAGGGACTGGGCTCCACTGTGCTCCAGTGTCCTGGGCACAGAGTCCAGAGCAGGAGAACAGGCCTGTCCTCCCGGAGTTCCGGGAGGGAGTGGCACGTGTGTGCCCGAGCGTGAAGGACGACAGATTCCAGGGGCAGCAGCAGGCCCGTGTGGAGCGGAGGCTGCTCAGCAAGTGGCATGTGGCCTTGGTGAACTCCTGGGCTGTTGGTGGTGACCCTGCACAGGGGCAGACACACTGGCTGAGGACAGCGGCCTGCTCTGGCATCAGGCAGCCCCAGAGGAGGACTTACCCCCACAGGCCGTCCCCGTCCCATGTGCCCTGGGAGCAGGGAAGCCTCTTGCCACATGCCCTCTTTCCTGCTGCTTCCAGGCCCACCTCTGGCCTGGTGTCCAGGCCCAGCACCTCCAAAAGGCCTCAGCGATGGCACCAGACACGGCCTGGCCAGTCCCAGGGCTGCCCCTGCCTGCTCATGCTGGCTGCCCCAGGGTCCTCAGGCCGCCAGGGCCCCAGCCCCACAGGGCCTGTGTCGGCACTAACAGGCCCCAGCCACAGGGTCTCTGCCCCGGGGAGTGCCAGAGCCCATTGTCTCCCCCACCTCCTGCTCACCCTGTAGCTGCACCTCCATGTGCTACCGCCCCACTGGCCCCTGTGGTCACCCGGCTCAGCCCTGGGGTGGGGCCACAAGGGCCTCCGTGCTTGGCTCCAGCACCCCTGGGGACCCACCTGAGGAGCTGGTGCCCCTGGGGCAGTGTCTGCAGCCAGGTCACACACTGGCCCCCGTGGCCGTCCAGGGCGGCAACCGCTCTCCGCGTCTGCAGGCTCCAGATGTGCACCAGGCCATCCTGAGACCTGCTCCAGACAAGCAGAGGTGTTAGGCGGCGAGCGCGGCAGGTGCGTTCCTAGCTCGCTCTGGGACTGGCCTGGAGGCCACCCCAGGGCATGCGGGCATCTCGGCTGGTAGCATTTTTTGTTAAAAGCTGACCATTCTGAATAGGTCCAAACTGGCAGAGCTTCTCTGAGAGGGAGCGCACGCGGGGAGGTTCCGTCTGCCCTGGCACCTGTGGCTGAGAGGGCCTGTGTCCCCGCTCCCTGGAGGGGTGGCAAGTCCAGTGGGCTTTGAGTGTGCAGCAAGCCCAGGATACGGGCGCCCATACCCCTCTGCCAGCACACCCAGAGGAACTCAGGCTCCTTGCTAGCCCACCACCTCTGACTTCACCCAGGCCACCCACAGCCAGGGCAGCAGCTACTTACCCTGAGAAGAGAAGCGGACACCCCTGGGCCTGGGCTCCTCTGCAGAAATGCAGTGCGTGCACTGGTGACTGAGTGCCTCGGAGGACAAACTGGGGGTCCGGCGGTGGCGAGAGGTGGGCCGCCATGCTGGGCAGGGCACAGTCACCTGGGGACTGAGGGAGGACATGTGAGTGATGGCACCCCCCACAATCGTCCTCCGGGAAGGCAACTTGGGCATAGAGGGGTCCAAGATGCTGCCCCTGCTCTATGCCCAGCCCTCTGGGCATAGACCCCTGGGAAGACCCCTGCCCCCCAGACATTGCTGAACGGCCTGTGGCTGCAGAGGAAGCATTCCCAGCAAGGGTAGTGGGGCTCTGCTGGCAGAATGGAGCCCCTTCCCCCACTGCTGGCCTCTTCTGGCTGCTGTTCCTGCCGGGAATCTGGGATTGCTGCCACCACCCCGCCCCCATGCCAATACTCTCCCCATCCTGCCTGTTGACCTCTGTACATCCCTAGATGGGCACGGCAGCAGCGCCTAACCCTCCCTCGGCCACTCTGGCCCTCAGTGCCTGGGACACAGCTCCTCACGGGCCCCCAGGGCACCCTGCCCACTGCTGGCTTCACCCTCTGCTGCCTAGACCCCATGGGCCACACCAGCAGCTGCCTGCTCCAGACCCGCACGCAGGCCCTCCAGCGTCTCCTTGGGAGCACCCACACCTCTGCCGGTCCAGTCTCCCCTCCTGGGCCCCGCAGAGGAGTGGGTGTCTAAAGGGGGCAGCTGTCCAGGGGACCCCTTCCGCCACGCCCTCCACTACCAAGTGCTGGCCCTCTCCTCTCCACTCACTGGGTGAGGCAGGAGCAGCTCCACTGGGGCAAGAGGTTCAAGATGCCTAAGCACAGTGTAATAGCTCTTTTAGAATTTGTCTAGCGGATCTTCCAGTCCTTACTGGAAGACCCAAAAAAAAATTAAAAAAAAAAAGACACCTAAGTGACACCCCGCAGAGGCGGCTGGGCCTTCGAAAGTCGGCAGGCTCTGACCACTCGGAGTGGAGGGCGGGCCACAGCCGGCAGTAGAAGGCCTGGGGGAGGTGGAGGAGGCCAGGCACGCGGGGGGTCAGGGATCTGACTCCTGGGCAGAGGGTCTACCCTTCCTGTCAAGAGACCTCAGGCGGCCACTTTGCCTTCCGCCCCACCGCTCTCAAGGGGTTCCGAAGAGAATAAGCAGAACCCAGGTGCACTTCACAAACTGCCAAGTCCCATTTTTTTGTTTTTTTGGGAGGTAGAGGTGGGGTTCAGCCTAACAGCCTCCTGCCTTTGCCCATAGCCAACTGATCCTTCCCAAATACAAGGGCGGCCTCCTGGGGTGGCGGAGGGACACTGGGTCTCAGACGCCAACACCTGCTGCATGGTGCCTGCAGGTGAGAGAGCCGTGAGCCACAGGCACAAGGCTGTAGGGCCCCAGCCATGAGGAGCCCAGGAACACAGGGGAAGCACCTCAGCTGGCAGGGACACAGTGGGGCCAGGATGGGGGTCCCTCCTGCTACTGCTCCAGGCCACTCCATACAGCTCCCAAGTGCAGTCCAGGCATGACACACCAGATGTGCACTGGTGTACACACACGTGCACACACATGTGCACACCTGTGAAACTTACACAAAGGACACACACCCATAGGCACACACTTGCACACTCACACACACACATGCATACATGCACACACACACGCACAAGCACAGGCACACATATTCACACAAGCACACGCACACACATTCACACACACACAAGCACACACAAACAGAGAGCCAGGCAGCCTCAGGCAGCGCCAGTCAAAGCCTGGCCCCCTCTTGCCACCAGCCTGCGGCCTGGCTCGAGTTTCCAAAACTCGCCAGAAGGCTTCTACTGCCAGAAGGCTCATTCTGGGGTGATGAAATCAAGTTCTCCTCTATTGTTCGCCCCAGAACTGTGGGGAACAAACCCGTCACATTGTTACAACCACCGAAATGCTCAGGCCAAAATGATGCATCGGCAATTAAGGGCTCTGTCATTTCAAGCAATTAAAATAAGCGCTTTATTTGAAAACTAATTAATTCTAGCTACATATTTTTCCCATGACAATATCCTGGGATAGCTTGATTTATGACATCTAATTATTCTTTATTAATCTAATTGAGGATCTTGCCTCCTCCTATCTCGCCGGGCCCCAGGCCTCGGGAGCGGAGGCCAAGCCCTTGCGCAAGGCCGTGCACACTATCAGCTGCCTGCACTGCCCCTGCTACCCTGCTCTTGTCCTCCCCGAGGCAAAGGAACGGGAAACTTAATCCACAGAGAACAACTTGGAGCCTACTGCTCTTCGAGATGTCAGTGGGAGACATATTGCTTTAAAAAATGAAGAGAAAGACTACCGGATACAATGTGACAGCCGTTCCAAAGAGGCTTGCACAGAGGGACCCTGCCAGAGTCCCCTGCCACAGGCCACAGCCGCAGCAGCTCTGAGGGCCTCAGGGCTCTCCCCGAGGGGCGGGTACTGAGCCTCCCCCACCCAGCATGTGGGCCAGTGGCAGTGAGGCACTGAGGCACGCACCGCAGGGATCCAAGGATGCCCCTGAGGAAGGCAGGGTGGACACGCAAATGCCCAGCGGCACAGGCCTGCCACAGCCGCAGGGCCTACGTCAGCCCGGACAGCCCGTGTGACCCGAGGCAGACACGGTAGGGTCAGGGCAGTGGCTGGTGCCCAAAGACCTCCCATCCCTACCCAAGATGTGCTCAGGTAGCTTTGGGGTTGCCCTCCAGTGCACGGCCTGGCCCACAGGCAGGCTGCAGGTCTGCCTGGGCACCCACCTGCCTTGGGCTGCACAGTCCCGGGAGCAGCCCCCCAGCCTGTCCTGTCACTGCCGCAGGACCATGGCTCATGAAGGAGCCCGGGAATTGGCACAGAGCACTGGCAAGAGAGCCAGCTCGGCCGGTCGCTGCCTCCGCCTGCCCGGCTCCCCAGGACCCCAGCCCCCACAGATGCCAGGCAAAGGCACAGAACCACCCCCAGTGGTCCTGGAGGCCCCTCCATCCCACAACCTGACAGACAAGGTCAGCATCACTTTTCAGCAGATGCCCAACGGGCCCACCACACTGAAAAAACTAAACATGTCAAGCCGGGCGCGGTGGCTCACGCCTGTAATCCTAGCACTCTGGGAGGCTGAGGCGGGCGGATTGCTCAAGGTCAGGTCGAAACCAGCCTGAGCGAGACCCCGTCTCTACTATAAGTAGAAAGAAATTAATTGGCCAACTAATATATATAGAAAAAAAAATTAGCCGGGCATGGTGGCGCATGCCTGTAGTCCCAGCTACTTGGGAGGCTGAGGCAGAAGGATTGCTTGAGCCCAGGAGTTTGAGGTTGCTGTGAGCTAGGCTGACGCCACGGCACTCACTCTAGCCTGGGCAACAAAGTGAGACTCTGTCTCAAAAAAAAAAAAAAAAAAAAACTAAACATGTCGGTAAATTTAAAAAGCTAGGTGTGGGGTGCACACCTGTATGTCTAGCTACTTGGGAGGTTGAGGCAGGAGGATCGCTTGAGTCCAGGAGTTGGAGGCTGCAGTGAGCTACGATCGCACCACTGCACTCCAGCCTGGGGAACAGAGCCAGACCCCATCTCTAAACAAATTAAAAAAAAAAAAATCTTCAATGCATCATTAAGTTGGCAAAAAACTCTGGGACTGTGGGAGGTCGAGCACTAAGTCCAGTCCAGCCTGGCGAGGCCTGCCCTGGGGCACTGGCCACACCAGCAACTTAGACTTCTGGTTCTGGGCCCTCTGAGGCTACAGAAGGCAAAAGACCAGGATCCCCTTCGGTGGCTGATCTCACAGGAAACCCCAGGAGAGATGGAGCCCCACAACGCCAGATGCTCAGTGCTAGTCTGAACCAGAGCTAGACCCAACCCTCGGGTGCCAGAAAACACCAGCCCTCAGGGATTAGCCCCAAGTCACACCACTCTGGGAGATTCACTGTCTTCTCAAAGGGAGCCCACCTTCAATGCAGGCCTCCGTGAATTCACGGAAAAAGTCCTAAGAAGTTCAGGCTCATAGTCAAAAACCACAAAAATCAACAAGGAAACACGGCACCAGGCGTGAGAGCTATCGCAAGCAGCAGGAAGCAGAACCAGACCCAGAGAGCAAAGCGCTCAGGCACATAAGACGAGCATGCTTCACGCCCTAAAGAAATAACGAGAGCGCTGGCGCCGCGAGGACAGCGAGGGAGGCTGTGAGAGTCACCACGCGGGTTCATGAAGGGGTCCAGCCTGGTGAAAGGCTGTCGGGAAATGGAGACTTGCACTCCGCCACGGCGTTGCTCCCAGACTGTTTGCTAATCACAACAGGAAAATGCATGTCTACAATGGAGACACCGGCTGTCACCGCCTTCACCACTGACTGAAGCCGGCACAGCAGTGGTGACAAACCGGTGCGACTTGTCTCCTGACGCGATGCCACGAGAAGACACGCACCGCCCTTGCGCACTGGGGCCAGCAACGCTCAGCCCGAATCTAGTCATGAGGAAACAGCCAGACGTATCCAGGCTATGGAACCCCAACATAGCCAAGGTCGAGAGAAACAACAAAAGCAAAAAGCAGGGTGACTCTTGCAGTTAAAAGAGACAAAAGAGACTTCACAGCCAAATGCAACCTGTGAGCTTTAGATCCTAGATCTTTTTTTGTTTTGTTTTTGACAGAGTCTCACTCTGTTGCCCAGGCTAGAGTGAGTGCCGTGGCGTCAGCCTAGCTCACAGCAACCTCAAACTCCTGGGCTCAAGCGATCCTCCTGCCTCAGCCTACTGAGTAGCTGGGACTACAGGCATGCACCACCATGCCCGGCTAATTTTTTCTACATATTTTTATTTGGCCAATTAATTTCTTTCCATTTTTAGAAGAGACAGGGTGTCGCTCTTGCTCAGGCTGGTTTAGAACTCCTGACCTTGAGCAATCCGCCCGCCTCAGCCTCCCAGAGTGCCAGGATTACAGGCGTGAGCCACCATGCCCGGCCTAGATCCTAGATCTTAAATCAGATCCTGGATCAAAAAAGATGGTGCTGGGGGAAATGGGCATTTATTGAAACCTTAAAATCTGTACCCCCATAATATGCCAAAATAAAAAAAAATTAAAAAAAAAAAAAGATGGTGCTGTAAGGGA